AGTCTCTCCTGTGTACTGGTTGGAACTGGTGCGGAGGCGCCAGATGATTCGTAGTATACATTGTCGAAAGTAACCAGCACATTGAAACCAAACGGGGTGGTTGGCCCTGTCTGGAGTTGCTGAACTCTTAGCTCACCCAGACAGACGTCCAGGCTACCCGGTTGGCACCACGAGGAGGTGGTTCAGCTCGCCGACCTTTTCTTTACAGTAAGGCCTTCAAATAAGTCATGGTTGTACGGCAGTGAAGCATCGGTGTTGAACACTGATGTCATGCTGTCGATGATGATGATGAAAGGTCGCCACTTTCCAGTCAGGCTTTTGAGCCAAAGGCTTTCCTGAATACTTGAATCATCATTCAGCCCAGTTCTGGGTGCCCTGTTAGTGTCTCAGGGCGTATACAACTAAGGATTACACTAACCTGTCTCATGGTGTTGCCCGTCGGGTCTCCTAACTTGCTCATTAGGGCGTGTAAGTGTCCCTCTTCACCATTCCTCGCAGTCCTTTCACTTCACTCCAGCTCACTTCTTTTAGATGACGAGAGAGGGTGCACTATGGTCAGCGCGATTCCAAGCGTGGTTGGTCAGACTCCGTGGAATCACGTCAATAGAACTTATCCGCCGACCAACAAACGTCAATCCCTTCGGTAGATTTGACGTGGGCACACGTTCTCACAGAAAAGTGCACACCTCGATTAGTCAAAATGTGAACTTACTGACCAAAAGAGTCCCGAGTCAGCCTCTTCCGTATAACTACGAATGTCACTGGTCACATGCTAACTAGAGAAAATCCGCTGACACCGATATGCTTGAAATTTCACCTTAATGCAGACGATTCCCCGGAAGATATTTAGATCAGTGTGACATTGCTGGGCATGAGGGTCATCAGCGACAAGCTGATAAATGGTTTTTGGGGCGAGGTGGAACAAGTGGTTAGAGCGCGAATTTACTGACCGGAAGGTCCGTGGTTCGAATCCGACCTCTGCCTCTCGACATCCCTTGTCTAGGCTTGGGCAACCTGGCAGTATCCCAGCCCTCGTGCTTCCTTCGGGTGGCATGGCAGTTAGGCACCGAAAGGGTGTTACAGCTGAACAATGGTTCTCCCAAGTGGGCACCTCTACAAAGTGGACGTACTTCCAAGAAGTATGTGACCTGGTTAATAGTGATCGGAACTCAAAATCGAATCCCGGGCAATTGTTACTGTTGAACCGCTACTTCAAGACTCCCCATTTTTGGAAAGAAAGCCCTGACGTGGATGCCAAGAGATTCTCACACTTAATGGGAATAGTAACACGTAGTATTGTTTGGGTCTCATCAACTGAGTGCTATAAAATCGTCGGCAAACTACGGTGGAATTGATGTTTGTCGATTTCCCAATCCGTTTCAGCAAATTAGAGGAACATCGATTTATTTTTTTCCGCTCATTCGGTGTCCGCTGTCATCATATACAGGGTTAACAACTTGCATCTCTAAAGAGAAAACGATTTCGTGTCAACGCGAAGGACTTTGAAAGACTATGTCTACTTCCCCTTGGAAACCACGGTGGCCGATGGGAAAGCTTCTTGCTCCTTGGTGGGCGACAATGAGGAGTTTACTGACCAACAAAGAAGACGTTGGAGCGTGACAGATGTTTACGTCACTGGCTTTATTGTACATATCGGATATAGTGCTTGCAGACACTTTTCGAAAGGTGAACACATTAGGAATTAACTAACTGCATGATATCGATCGTCTCTGCTTGTTCATTAGGGAAGTTCATATCGAAAAAATCCTCGAAAGGAATGGAGATTTACATAGAGCTATCGGAGTGATAGCGTATCAGTTCGTTTGCAGATATTAAGAGACCGAAATTTACAACCACTCTGTGCTTCGTCTGTGTCCCATTGAACTGTTTAAAACAGGACTGAACCTTTTGTAATGCACCACTCTTAAGGTTGCTGAAAACTCCTCAATAGCCCACGACCGGTTTCGCCCTTCTTGGGGCTCATCAGGTTAAACGCAGTCCCCGAGTTTCCATCAACCTTATCTTCTACTTGAAACCAAACTGCACGAAATTAGCGAATATACACTCATTTGCAAACTAATTTGGTTTCTCGAGAGACCCACCTGGAAACCAGCTGAATCTCTCGGTTTTGATGTTTCCAGGACTGAACCTTCATCAGATATTTATTGGGGCACCAACTTGGGACTCACGTCTCCCCTTTCTTTAAAGGTTGGACACTTCCAGGAAGAGCATGAGTTCGGCTGGTTCCAAAGTATGCTCTTTTCGCGGAGAGGGGGGGGGCACTCCCCAGTCACCTGTGCACCAACACACCTAGTGTTTCATTCAGTCGGCGAGACTCACTTATCTTTAATGTGTGCTGCGCAAAGTACACATTGTGTTAGACCTAAGTAAACAGCTGACTTTAGTGATTATGCCACTTTTTCTTGTTGGTCTTCAAGCAGTCTCATTTAGCTTAGCGGTGAATCCCATCCACTGGGTTTTGGTCGACTGCCTGCAAAACCTGTTGTCCGTCCAGTGTTACATTTCGGTTAGCCTTGCCTTCGGATTTATTCCCTCTTCTCTCAATCTGTTCTGACTCTCTCAGCGCCGTCCTCCTCAGTACCGATGTCATGGCTCGCGGAGTGGATATCCCTGACGTCAGTTGGGTCCTTCAATGCGATCCACCATCCAGCGCCAAGTGAGCATACATATTTACATTCCTTCTGTTCTTTGGATTATTTTAGGGGGGTGGTGGTCATTTTAGTAGGTTTTTTTTTCAATACAAGTTTGTTGTTTATCAGCTCAGCGTCACTTCTTGGCTTTTGTTCGAACAATTTCACAATTGACTGAGATCATCATACCCTTCCAGGATGTATGGGGAACCGAGGTGAATAATAAAGTTGTGGACCCGCTAAAGAACTGACAAGACAATGTGTCAGCTCATGAATCGGTTCAACACGTGTATACCTTTGAAGAAACAGTTACTGAGTGATGTAGAGCCGGAAGAACTGCGAAGGAGTAACGCGTATGTATGATTGTGCTTATAGGTTGATCTATCGATAGAACTGGATGTGTTCAGTCAGCTCAATCCGTTGGTTATCTTGTCAACTAAATCAGACGATCACCGACTTTTGCCCACTTTCCTGTTTAGGTTGTAATTGGTGTAGTCGCTCTCTCACAGACGAACCATAGTAGTAATTTCATAAAAGAAACTAGTCATAAGGTTGCTGAAAACTCTTCGACAGCCCATGACCGGTTTCGCCCTTCTTGGTGCTCATCAGGTAGGCGCAGTCCCCGAGTTTCCGCCAACCTTATGTTCTACTTGAACCCATGGTGGCTTCCTCGAAAGGTACAAGAGCGTCTGGCCTTAGAGTATCTCTTTCAGCATATGTCAACTAGTTCTTCAAAGACCCCACTGTGAATAGACCAGAAAAGCGAAAAGGTGGTTACGCTTGCAACTTTTAGCTTCAGGTTAGACGGGGCTTCCTCGAAAGGGACAAGAGCATCCTCAGAGTATCTCTTTCAGCTTATGTCAACTAGTTATTCAAAGACCCCACTGTGAATAGACCGGAAAAGCGAAAAGGTGGTTGCGCTTGCAACTTTTGGCTTCAGGTTAGACGGTGATCGACTGAAACGGATTGGTCAGTAGTTGAACGGCAACAGCGAAGTAAAGCCGGAAAGTCAATAAACTTATACCTTTCAATAATGGACAGCGAAAGAATGTCCGCTATAATGATGTGAACCAAGTGGCCAGTTTGGATTCCTGATCGAGTGTGAAAGGTGGGTGCTTGGGTTTACATTTCTCTCGTTTGAAAGTCTTCCTCTCCCTAGGCGTAGTTATTCTGATGAGTCCACATCAAAAAAGGGAAGTACCAGAATTGAATTTCGCTCTTCCTAGGGCTCATCAGCAGTGAATAACCTTGATTTTGCCGGATTTTAAACTCCAAACATCTGACGTGATAGGCAACCGTCTTACCGCTAATCAACCAGCGCACTCTGTACGCACCTGAATTGTCACGTGACCAGGGATTCGTTCTATGAAGTGACGAATCCACCAACCATATGTTGATTTCTGTGAGTTTGTAAGCTCCCAGTAGAGGTTACGATGGTCAAACCTGTGTTTACTGAGTTGATCTTGTCTACAACAGTGGTAAATTGGAAAAAATTGTTCAGCTGTAGCACCCCTTCGGTGCCTAGCTGCCATGCCACCCGGAGGAAGCACGAGGGCTGGGATACTGCCAGGTTTCCCAAGCCAAGTCGAGAGGCAGAGGTCGGGTTCGAACCACGGACCTTCTGGTGAGTAAATTCGCGCTTTAACCACCTGGGCCATCTCCCCCCCTACAGCAGTGGTAACGCACGGAAGAATCCAGTGCTTATCATTCACTGATCGTCTGCGTTTACGTTCTTATATGTCACACACAGAGCTCTTATCACGCAGTCACAGAAACAGGATATGAAGGATGCCGAATCATTTTTAGTTACGCTTTCCAGCCATGCACGTTAGTACTTCGAGTCCAATTGTCACAATATCTGGTCAATGGAAAGTGAGATCATCACGGGAAAGCTGCAAACTGGTGAAGGTAAAACAATCAGAGTAAAGATGACTGATTATTCACAGGAGCCACACTGCTTCCGTGGTTCCACCGTATCTTCCAGGTCATGTACACCAGCCTTGTCAAAGCCCTTTTTTGGACTTTTAGTACTTCTTCGTCAAGTTGAATCCTGTCCACATGCTCCATTAACTCATTCGAATTCGCGTAAGGCGAAAAATCTGTCTAGAAGACCGTCTCCAGGCATCTGTAACGTACGATTTAGCCAGCGCAACCGGTTTAATTGTATTAAACTGTCAATCGAGTGCTTTTCTAGTCAACATGTGATGTAATTCTGCACTGAAGATACGGTGCCCTCGCACCACGTGTGCAAATCAATGGTCATGTACATTCTCTCCTGTCACCGTAAGGGACTGAGTGGAAGGGGCTGTTCCAATTCGTGGGAAGAATCTATAAAATCACCTTTAGCTTTGTTCAGCTCCTTCCTCTTAATGCACTTCTCAGCTAGTGGTGGTGTTGTTGAGGCGAAAGATTTCACCGAGAAAAATGCGGAGATTCTTTGAGACGCAGAATAGAGGAATGGGGCGACAGAAAATAGTCATCTTCGATGCTTTCTCCAAGTTTATTCGCCTCAACAACTTGGCCGAAACAGTAGCAGTTCGGTAATTGACTTTGCCTCTCTATCTGAGCACCCACTCCACTCTGTCCTGTTTGGTTTGGTAAAATTCTAGAAATTCTGCACCATGTTTACTTCATTCAGTCCAACCGAACAAAACTATTTTTATAGATAATTGCAGCGACTCCCACCTAAGCAAACAGCTGGCATGAGTTTTATCAGGGCACATGTTCTCTTAGGAAGACTGCTAGCGAAAGGAAGAAGGCCTTCGCTGCGGAGTTATTTACT